CATCATTGAAAGTTAAAAACAAACAGACAACAAACATTTATTTCATTCACTAACGAAGCTTTTTTTTGTAATCCAAACACTCGGAGGCTAGGTATAGAGGATATTTTAAGGGCGGGAGTTCTGGGATTGGTTCTCACGTTGACTAGGCGTCCTCTAAGAGTTCACCTTCAGCTCGGATGTCGTGGAGGAGCCCAAGGTAGCCAGGTTGATCCAAAAGGGGAAAAAAATCAGCTCAAAAGTTACCGAGTTGAACGTCGTGGGTTTAAATCTTGGGAGTGGGAGTTGAATTTCAGCTTGTTTAGCAGAAACAGATTTGTACTTTCATAAGAGGATAAGCGACCTAGCACCCTTCCAAAGCATTGGGAATGTGCCTAACCTTTCCCGAGGAGTGAAACTGGATATTTGATCCAAAAAAGGAAAAATGCAAAAGTGCGACATGAACAATCGACGGAATTCGCGGCCCCGAACATTTGTCTCTCTCTCTCTCTCCCCGGAAACTCGAAGATCCTGCGGGAGAAGCGTGAACGATGGTGGTAGCTCGAATGGAAAAAAAAAACTAAACCGAAGCAGACACATTCGTATGTGTTAACGTTAATAAAGTCAAAAAAAATCATTGGATCGTTTGTCCTAAATTTATCATAATTATTATTATTATTATTTTTTTTTTTTTAATACTTCAAAATATATAAATATATAAGTGGAGTAAATAAATAATGTGAAAGGCCAAAAAAAAAAAATTTCTTTGTAACAATCAACAATCAACAACTTTCATAATAACAACAATTTACCAAAATCGATATGCACTACAAAAGCAAATGTAAACTAATTTAATGTTTTAAATTACTCAAAAGAAATTTTTTTTCTTTCTTTTTCTTTTTATACTTGAAAAAGACGTTTATATTAATTTATAATAAAATTTTATACGAAACTTTGATAATAAAATTGAAAGATTTTTTTAAACATATTAACTGACGGATTAATTTTATGTGGCGTGTAATCTATTTTAAAGAAAAAGAACAAGAAAAAAAAATTTTTTTCGAAACAAACTTTTTCTTCTTTTCTCATATATATACATACACATACAAACATAAAAAAAAATTTAAAATAAATCTTTATACAATGATAAAAATGTGTAATCAACGAAATTTCCAACACCACCAAAAAAAAAAAAAAAAAAAATTTTTTTCTCTCTCATTATCAAAGATAAGTTTCGAGTTAGAAAAAAAAAAAAAAAAACATTTCGACGATGCACGATATTAACGGTTTTTATAAAATACAACCGACGTACAACCATACAAACGGAAATATATATACAAACTCATTTAACCCCTATTTAAAAAATAAAAACAAAACAAAACCGTGGACCATGTGTTGCCTTCGTCGTCGTCGTCGTCGTCTGTCTATCCTATTGATCGCGATTCGAAACTGATAATGGCGCATTGAAAACCGCACACCTTTTGAAAAGTTGATTCGCCCAAACAAAATATGAAGAAAAGAGAGAAAAAAGAAAAACTCTAATTCGTCTTTGGACGAACCTTTCAATCATTCATATTCCGCTGGTAAATTAACCCATCGTCAAAATCCGAACGAGTCTTACAACCTTACACAACCTTTCAACTCAAAATGTATAAAAAAAAATTCGACAACAATTTTTCACACAATCATTTGTGAAAGAAAGATATCACACATCACTTCGAATATATTGGATCGTCAATTTGATCACTCTTCCCCCCCCACCCCACCTCCATTTGTATAATGTGAAATCGTTTCACATCGAATAATATTTTTTTTTTTTTTTTTTTTTGGGGGGGGGGAAATTTAATTATGCGAATCACGAATGAATAAACTAATAATAAAAACAAAACGCATACCGTTTCCGCTTTAATGCTATCATATAAAAAAAAAAAAAAAATTTTTTTTCTCTCTCTCTCTCTCTTGAGCAAAGCACACTTGACTTGTGTCCGGAATATATAGTTTTCGAGTATGACTCTTTTTTTTTTTTTTTTTTCGTTTTAACCCCACTACCACCATCACACATGCGGTGGCATGTGTGGTGGTAGCCATTTATTTATTTAAATCCGCCGTTAAATTAAACGACAAAAACAAAACAAAATCGACAAAACTCTTTGGATTTTTTTTTTTTTTTCCAAAGATGTACACGTACGCACACAACATTATCATTCCAATATATATATATAAATGGGGAGAGGGAAACGAGAAATAGAATAAGGTGTTAAGTTGAAAGTTAAACGACGAGAGAATGGATGGAAAGAAGAAAGAAAAAAACCTAGATACTAATAAGATTTCGAACGAGTAAATGAGTCAGTTCAAAGTAAAAAACCAAAAAAAAAAAAAAAAAGGTTTCATGTATGAAAGTTTAATAAGACGTAGCACGTGACAGGATGTACAAGAGAGCGTAGTAGTAGTAGTAGTAGTAGTAGTTAGCCACCTGAATAAAGCAATGTGGCGGCTCTCTCACTCTCTCTCTCTCTCTCTCTCACTCTCTCTCCTCTCCACTCGTTTAAAACGTTCGTAAAAGAAAAAGAAACGTGTAGAAATTATTGGAATCATCCAATTTTTATTCCCTTCGAAAAACTTTTTTTCTACAAAAGAGGGCTCTCTCTCTCTCTATCTCTCTCACACATACACACTGAGAGAGAGATTTTTCGACGTTCATGTTTATTTTTAAAACCTTCGCGTCATGTTTTGAAATAAATGTTTTTTTTCTTCAGATTTAAAAAAAAAAAAAAAAAATGGGGGGAAAGAAAGAAAGAGAAGAAAGAAAAGAGAAAAAAGTTTTTTTTTTTTTTTTTTTTTTCTCTCCTCCCGGTGAAATTGATGTGTTTTAACGTCTGTCAACATTCAACATTTTGTTTGCAGTTCCAATTTAGAAAAGCGTGGCAAGGTGATCATCAATTCGTTTAAATGAATATTTTCTTTTCTCCCTCCCTCCCTCCCTCTCTCTCTCTCTCACTCTACCACCTAATACGTGATACACACTTGAAAAAAAATCGTTAATTTATTTTTTTTACTATACGGGCATGAAAAATGAACCTACTCTTTGTACAACATAACTGAACATCGTATTTACATAATCTATATGTTTTTTTTTTTTTTTTTTTTTTTTTTAATAAGCAACCCACATCTTTTCGACCCAAGATCAGTTTACAACCTCACGACATTCTAACAACAAACACAACATTACATCTTCTTTACTATTCTAATTACTGGAAAAATAGAAGCAATAGAAGAAGAAATTGTTAGTAAATGCCGAACTGAGGTTCTAGAATTTTTTACTTTTTGAACATCATAAAAACCCAAGATGAAAAGAACGACTTTAAATCCTAAAAATTTCAATCATTCGCCATAAGTCATTCATTCACTCTCTTCCTCCTTGTGTCCTGAAGAAATGTAATAATAAATACTTCGACCTGTAAATTCTAACGTAGAGAATAGCAACGAGAAAAAAAACTAAAAATTCTCAGATTGTTTCCATACTAATAATTTTTTTTTTTTTTTTTTCAGTCGTCATCGTCGTCGTCGTCACCGAGCACAATTTTTTAACAAAAAATTAATTGATTTATATTTATTTTGCGATAAATAAATCATCAACTTGGTTTCTGATAAAAAAAAAAAAAAAAAAACCGTTAACGCCTTTGATTTTTCGATTATACAGTTCGCAATACAATTAATAAACTTTCCTATGAAAATATTATATACGACGGTTAAAATATTAAACGTGAAGAAAATTTCACACGCGCAACAACAACAACAACACACATTCCTCTTCATTATAAAAAAAAATTTTTCATTTACAGGAAATGTCAACATTGAATATAAAATGGTCTTGACGGAGTTAACGTTATCAACTAAGGATAAAAATAAGAGAGAGAGAGTGAGAGAGAGAGAGAAAACGCATTTCTTTCGTTCTCTCTCTCACTCTCTCTCTTTCTCTCTCTCTCTCTCTCCATTTAAATGTATGCCACATTATTATTATTAATAGTATATCGTAACCTTTTTAATTTTCAATGTGTGGTCGTTTGTCCTCGACGTTCCTATCATTATTATTATTATTTCTTCTTCTTCTTAATTTCGTTTGACTTCGAAGATAAATTTTAATAAAATCAATCTTCTCAGTCTTTCGCGGTACGGGTACTAAGATATCACCCAACAATTATTTCCCGCATCTTTTTTTTTTTTTTTTAAATGCCCTCCGGTTTAATTCATTATCAAACCGCACTAGTTTATTTAAAAAAAAAAAAAAAACTAATAATGTTAATAAACCGTGATGAACGTCGTCGTTGTCGTCGTCGTCGTCACATACGTTCGGTATTTAAACAAGAAAAAAAAAAAAAAAAAAAAAACCGTTTGTAGTTTGTTTGTTTGAATGCAAGCATGCAGAAAGTAACGCCGCATAGTCGTCGTAAGTCATTTTTTAAAAATGAATCGTCCTTCCTTCTTTCCTTCCTTCCACGTCAAATAATGACTTTTTTTTTTTTTTTTTTCTTATTTGAATTGACTTTTTGTGATTTACCCGCGAGTTCCGTTACTCCCGCTATTTTCCCGACATGCGTAACAAATACAACAGTAATGAGATAAATACGAATGTTTAGAGAGAGAGAGAGAGAGAGAAAACGTTTTTAAAACAACAAGAAAAAGCCTTTCAAGTTTTTCGTTTTTCTATTTCCACGTTAAATACCGTAAACTGATTTTTTTTTTTTTTTGTTTCAAACTCTCGCCTATACCTCAGACCAATCTGTGAGTTTGCGACAAACAAAAATTTCTGCTGCTCCCCTTTAATTTTACACATTTTATAAAAAAATATTTTTTCGTCAGTTTTTTCCCTTTAAAATATCAATAAAAACAAAATTCTCGGTTTGATATTATTATTATAACAACAACAACAACAACAACAACAACTACAACTACAACAACAACATTGATGACGTCAAAATAAATTTAAAAGAAAAGACAGAGAGAGAAGAAAAATATATATTTTCCTACCTGATCATTGCATAATCCTTGCTTTCGCTGACGATGTATTTTTCCATCTCTATCAGCTTGCTTTCGTCGATGGTTTCCGTACTTTCTAGAATATAAAAAATAATAAATAAATAAATAAATAAAAACGAAATCACGGATGAATCGTTACGTATTATTATCATCATTATTATTTTAAATTTCTCTTATTTACGTATATACTGCAAAGCAATTGATACAAAAATTTTCTTTTGGTGGATTTTTTTAATTTTCTTCCCCTCCCCCCCTCCTCACTACTCCGTTAAGCTGTAAGAGAATAAAATCTAACGAACGACAAAACAAAAAAAAAATATTTCTAGGGAGTCAAATTCTATTTTGGAAATAATTAATGGCGCTCTTTTTTCTTTTTTTTTAAACTTTGAAAAAATTCACCTATAAATAACTGAGCTTTTCAACAAGTTTATATTTATATACGAATACACACACGTGTGTGTGTGTGCGTGCGTGCGTGCGTACACGTATATAGTTAAAATGCATTCACGTGCATTTGCTGGGGGTCTCACCGATTTTAATATATTTTTATTTCCAGTATTTCCTCCAGTCTGCATACGTGGTTCGGTAACTAACATTAACAACAACCATTTTCATTTTTTTTCCCCTCAAAAATCTCTCCAGCAAACTGGAATTTTATTCATTTTTACTATCTTTCCACCACTACTACCACTATAACTTTTACTATTACTACTCTTTCAATTTAATAACCTTTTCATTATGTCAAGCAAAATTATATGAATGAGAGAAAAGGAGGAGGAGGAGGAGGAGGAAAGTTAAAAAGACAAGAAGTAGAGAAATGTTTGTTTGTTAGTATACAAATGCGCGGATAAAGTTTACTATTAAATCACAAAAAAAAAGTAAGAGTTAATAAATAAATAAATAAGAAGGACAAGAGTCAAATTTAAATAAAAAACGGGAATATGGGAGGAGGGGACGGGACATTTCAAGGGCAAGGGCATTGTCACTCACGTCATTTACACAAAAGGTTTCAGTAAGTTCCCTCCGCGTGTCGAATGTAATAATCAGGTCAACATTTTCAAAAATAGACATTTTTTTTTTTTTTTTTTTTTTTTTTTTCAACTACACAGCTAATATTTTAAGGAAATGAAATGACTAAAATGTTAAAATGCTTATTCGAAACAATTTTCTTTTTTTTTTTTTTTTCTGTTTGTGAATTACTTTTACTTAAGCAAAACAAATTAATAATAATAATGATAAAATGATTGATTTGACTTTAATTTTTTTTTATTTTATATATGTAATTTAATAATGAAAATCAATAATTAATAAAAAATTGAAAGATATGTAAGAAAAATTTATGTGAAAATTGCTGACTTTACATGTTTGCCATTAAAAATATAAATTTAATCGTTTTTAAACAATCAATCAGGTGCACCGCTTTATGAAAAATATTTCATTTCGAAACCATTTTTTTTTTTTTTTTTAATTATTTTTTCTAAACAATTATGCCACAGCATTAACTGACCTAATATGGTGTTAATATTTTCATTTAAATTAATCATGTTTGTTTATTACAATGAACATAAATTTTTAATTAAATGTATAAACAAATTCATTCAAATTGCCTGCTCGAGTAAACTAGTTATGAAATTTTACATAATTTTTAAATCGAATAAAATTTTCTCATTAGGTTAATTTTGTTCTAATTGTAAATTTAAAAAAAAAAAGAAATAATGTTTCAGCATTTTTATTATTTACCCAAATAATAATAAGTTTATTATTAGGCTATCAAATTAAAAAAAAAAATCACTGTAAGGTTATTTGAAATTATATTTTAATGGGGAAGCAATTATAAAACATGGATGATGTCATGAAATCAAGTTTTAGTCATAGATAATACATATTAAAATTTGGGCACGATTATTAAAATATACAATATTTATAATTTATAAATACTCATGAGTATAAATAATAAGTTTTTGTTAAAATTATTGTATTCAATTAGGAAATCATGAGCGATTTTAAAACGGATAAATTCACAGCGTCATACGACATGATATATAAAATAATTATGTGTTGCATTTCAATTACGATTTTTGGAAAAAAAAAATTACATAATTTCAATTATTTTTTTACCACACGAGACTAAAGTAAATTAAATGTAACATTTTAAATAAATATAATAATATACAAGTCAATTAAATGAATCAGAAAACCTACTTCTTACTGATAACATTTGACATGTTTTAACCAGAAAAGACGCACACTAAAAAAAAAAAAAAAAACGCGCTCTTAAAACAAATAACTTTATTTTAAAAAAAATTTATAACTTTAATAATAAAAAATCACGTACCCATTGCTTCTTGATAAAACATATTAATTTTATTGAATAATATAAATTATAACAACAAAAAAAGGCAGAAAGTAGGAATTTCCGGAGTAAAGTACCCCACACCGCAAACCGCCATTTTTACTACATGCACAATGTGTTCGAAAAAAACGTAGTTGGTAACATTGAGTTAATTAAATAAATAATTAAATTTTTTTTTTCTCTTTTTTTCTAACACATTTATGAAATATTCCATTTTTTTAACAAAAATTAATTTTTTTTATTATATAAATCAATTATTTGGTTAAAATTACTTTTTAACTTAAATAACAATTTAAAAAAAAAAAATTTTCAAAAGTGTAAATAACATGTATTAATTTATTCCGCCATTACGTACGAACCCGAGAATTTATTTCTAGAAACATCCATAGAAAAAATTAAAATTTTTCCGTTATTTTTTCGAATGATAATTTCATATTCATTAATTTGATTTATAATTTTGTCTTAATATTTCATTAAAAATGAAATTTTCAAAACGATTTTTATTAAAATAAAGGAAGGTATTTTAAAAATAAAAAACATTTCCCACCATTTTTATATTCATTTTTTTTTTTCGATTTATTTTTAAAAAAAAAAAATTATCTACAATATGTTCAATATTATTGTTAAATGTTATAAACATTCGTAAATAGAATTTAAATAATTCTAGAAACTAGAATTTTGGTAAAAGCCGTGGAATTTATTAAAATCTAAAATCGTCAGCATGAATAGCATTGGAGCACAAGGAGGATTCGCTTCTCGCAAAAAACGTTTTATGCTGACTCATTTTTTTCTTTTCAATTTCTCTCTCGAAAAAAAGTAATAATAATAATAATAATAAATGCAATATTAACTGCGGTCGATGGAATATTAAAAAAAAAAACTATTTCGGTGAGAATAAACAACGATAATAAAAATTTTTAAATAAATTTGTTAGTTTTCGTCATGTTTTATCTTGATCCGTGCCGGAAATGACGGAACGACACATGGGACATTCAACCAATTGTTTGGTGCAAATCAAACAAAACCCACTGAAAAAAATAAAATAAATAAAGTTTTTAAAGAGAATTAAAAAAAAAAAAATTTAATCAATACATGAAAGAAACGATCAGAAACGGTAGACATCAAATTTTTTTTTTTTTTTTTTTTCAGAGGTTAGCACTCGTGATTTCATCATAATCTTATTAACAAGAACAACGAAATACTAAAATGGACGATACCTACCTGTGTCCACAAGGTCTCAGTCTTACAGAAGCCTTTTTATCAAAACATAAAGTACAAGAATCTTCATGAACGCTAAGTTTTCTTAATAATTCTAGTCTTATTTGCCTGAAAAGAATTAAAATTTACGTTATTATTTTATCATCTGTCTTAAAGACAATTTTATCATGAGGAAAAAAATTACATTACCGGGGTAAAACTAATTTTTGTTCTGGAGGTAGAGTAGCATTATCATTAAAGCTTTTAAATGGTCTAGAAGGAGGATACTGAAAAGGTCGATTACCAAAATTAAATCGACATTGTTGGAATGACATAAAACTTGCGGCCGCGAAAAAACCAGATCTAAAAAAATAATAATTTAATTAATAAGTTTCTTTTAAATAAATAAATTCGGTGGAATTGAAAGGTTGTAATAACGTACCTGGCCGTATCAAAAACGTGATTGCACGAACGAAGAAAATTTCCATTTAAATAAAATACCATTTCCGGTTTATTCAAATCTAACAAACATCCTAATATATCTCCGGGTCGCCAAACGTTTATATTTTGAGCTTCGCATTTTGCATTATGCCATATTAATTTTCTACAACCGTCGTAAGCTAAAGAATACTGATCGTCTCCTATACCACATCCATCCTGAAATGAACAAAATAATTTTTTTGAAAATTATTTTTGAAAACGCACGAAATAATAAACACGGGTTTAGTTTTCAATTACGTGATTTAAAAACGTGCTATCTTTGGTTGCCCATCCTATTTGCATGATTCCACATGTTATAATAAGAACTTCATAGAACCAAACACCTTCGTCAACTTGAAATGTGCATCGAACACTTTCAAAAGAATAAGCATCCGATCTAGCTTCGAGTCCATCAGGTGAAATTTTTAAATACTCACTAACATCCTTAGTATTAAGCATGACATTAATATCACTAGTATCGACACATTCATATGAAAACTTTCTGCCTTCTATTAAAACTGAAAATATGTATAATAAATATTAGTTTAGTCATTTCTCTTGCTCATTATAAATTTTATCATCATGTTAAATCCATTTTAAGTTTCTACACAAGGTTTTTTTAAAACTTACATAAATTATCCAAACACCACTGCGAACAAAAACCGATTTGCCTTTCTAAGTAGTGATTTGAATTTACTAACTTTTCTAACCTCAATAAAGGATTTTTATGTTCTGCTTGTAATCTCTTTTTTATTGTTACTTTATTTTCAGCTAAAAAGAAAAAAAATTTTTAATTCAAATAAAGAAACCAAAATGTTTAGATTTTATAATGATAAATAAAAAAATATATAAAGATTTTAATAAATAATTTTCGTTCGATTATTCGTTATTTCGATTGAAAGTTTTTTTTTTTTTTCCTTTACCTAAATGTAATATTGTGAAAATTTGCTAAAAGAAAATTGAATATATAATGAAATTAAAATGGATACAAATGAATTTGATTTTCTTACTTGTTTGTGCAAACTTTTCTAAAGCTATCAATGAAGATAAGATCACAGCATGATGTGTTCCTTCGCTCTGTAATAAATTATTGTGTATTTTAATTACTGTAAATTATATTTATTTTTTATTTTAAATAACATTGTCATACCAAATTTGTTATGAGATAATTAAGTGTTCCTGCTGTTAAAATTGTTATGCTGCTAGGACCTGCCAATTTTTCCGCAAAACAACCCAAAATAACACAAATATTTCTTTGTTGGGTCGGAGTATTGCGACCTATTATAGAACTTTCACTAGATAAATTAAAAATTTTTGACAACTTCAATACTGATTCCTGTAAAACAAATACACAAAAAATAAAAATTTCAAGTTGAAGATGTCGAAATTATAAATTAAAAATTATGAAGTTGCATTTGCGAATAATAATAGTAAAATTAACTTATGCCTTCTGATTTTAACAAACTCTTTTTAAAAAAAAAACAATTTACCTTTGTGGGTAAAGGACAATCATCTAGTAAAATAATAATTACAGAAGGTCCTAAAGGATTACTTGGAGGAATGACATTAACCATTGAAATAACAACTTGTATCCAACCATCTTCTTGATCTGCAATGGCATGTAACTTTTGCAAAGATGGTGGTGGTTCCTGCTCACTAAAAGTTAATTATGATTATTATAGTATTATAATTAATTTACACTCATAGTATAGTAATCAATCATTGGTTGAGTACAAGAAATAATTTAGTGGAATAACATAACATATCTTACTTTTCCATTCGCGAACCTATACTATTTAATGTTTCTAAAACAAGTTTGTCTATTGTAGAATATGCCGGACAATCCCATAATATATTTTCTGATCTATTAGGCATACAATTATCGGAATTGTCTATGGCTGATAATAAACTTCTCGATTGAAACCAAGGTTGATTTAACGGCCCTTCGTAAACATCATTTTCTGATAGTTCTTTACATATGCAAGATCCCATCTAAAATTTTTTATCGAATTAAGGGCAATCATCACTTCATTTAAAAGGGTGCTTTATTAAAAAGAAGAAAAAAAAAAGTATGTAGAATTATCATCAATAAAAATATATTTATTTATTATTAAAGAACTCTTCGTTTTTTTTTTTCATTTTAAAATTATCATTAATAATAATAATTTTTCGATAATTATTTTTTTTACTTAAATTATCACAAAGACCTACCACAATAACGCAATAAATTTTGTGTACCAAGGCACATAAAATTAATATTCAATTTTTAATATATACTTCCTATGATCGAGCTTTTATCTAAGCCAGAATGAATCGTTGCCAACATTAACGGATGAAAACATTGAATATATATATATAATAATTTATGAATCACAAATTTTTTTTTTTTTTTTTGATAAAACTTTTGAACTTTCAGTGACAATTTAACGATATTATAGACAGATAATAAATAATAACTTGTCTTTTTGAAATGAAGCTTTAAAAAGAAATGTAATTTACGAAAAACAAATACGATTACATTTTTTTAAAAATAAATTTTACTATTAGGTTCAATACCCAACTATTGATTTTATTTAATTTAAAAATAAATAAATATACAATTTTATTAACTGTTGAAAAGGCATATTAATAAAAACAATACGAAATTATTAAATTAAAAAAACAAAAATTCGATTTAAATACTAATTAGGAATCCGCCAAATTTTTTATTATTTCACCGCCTTTTAATAAAAGTTTAAAACGAACTTTTTTGGTGAGAGTTAAGTTGAAGTCCATGTCATCTATGAAATTTAGAGTGTAGTAATTTTATTTGATTTAAAAAGATTTAATAAAGTAAATTTGAAAAAAAAAAAGAAATTGTATTTTTTAATTTATAATTTCGTATAGTAAATAGGTTAATGCTGAATATAAATGTTTAAAATCGGTACGTTTGATTTTATTTTAATTTTATTTTACGCCCTCTTAGCATTTATGTCAACAGTTCGTGATGTAAGTTATAATATCAGTTCATTACATACACTTTCATAATTACCTTGTTATCAAGTACCGTAACATGGAGTGTAGTCGTCTACTAATTATGAACTCGTTACATTTTCAAATAAATATTTTCTTATTTGTTTAAAAGTTTAGACGATTAATTTACATTGATTTTGTGTTTGGTTCACTTGATTCATTGAACTGCTAAAGCCTAATTTGACTTTTTATTTAGCAGGTCATTGTTTCCGTGGGTATTCGTTTATTCGTTACACTTATTGAATTTTTTCTAAAGTTTTATTGCCTTATTAGTTGAATCGACCGTTCGTTCGATAGTGAAGATGGCAATTAAAAATAATGAAGAGGTAAAATATACTTGAATTAGAACAAATCTTTTTGTCAGGGGAGTGATAGCCTTGAAGTACTTGCTCCAGCCTACATAATTATTTCAAAGAAACATTTTCTATCTGTGAGGTCATTCAGTATATTTATTTGAGTATTTCATGTACTTAAATGTGATATTCCAATAATTATTTTTTTTTTTAAAAAAATATATATTTTGTTAAAATTTTTTAAATTTTTATTTAAGTGATAAAAAAAAAAAAAAAATTAGTTTAAAATTAAAATTTTGTGATTTATTATATTTTTTTTTTTTTAAATTAAATTAAAACAATAGTGATAAATATTTTATATTTTATTTAGGATATTAATGCAGGAAGGAAAATTCTTTTGAAATGCTTAATTTTTTTAACAAGGCCTGTAAATATGCAGGTCAATTAGAAAATGGACATAATGGTTGCTCATAGTAATGCAGTTTGTGAAAATGCTAGCTCACCTTTAAATAATAATAATAATAATAATAACAATAACAGTTACCTTAATAGCAAGGAAATATCAACCGGAGAACTGGAGCTGTTAGCTAAACTGGAAGAAGCAAACAGGTATCTCGATTCTTGTTAAAATCTGTGTAATATGTAATATCCGCTATTTATAGCTTCCTATAAATCCTAAAATACTAAATTTTGCATTAAGGTGCATGTTATTGGGATGCTAGTTTGATTCAATTTCACCAGGTAACCCACTGTTTCACACATTTGGGGACCCAAGATTGAAAAAAATATCAAAAATTGAAAAAAAAAAAAAAAAAAAAAAACCAGTTATTAGTGTTATCGAAATTTAATCAGATTTTGCTTGCCATGGTGATGAGTGTATACATTCAAACAGGATGGGAAACATGACCTTCACATTTATTTCACTGTATTCGATGTAAAAAAAAAAACTTTTAAAAAACAAAACAAAATTCAAACAAATAAAAATGCATGAAAATTGGTGAGTTATTATTTGTAAAGGTGATTAACCTTCAGGGTTGTATTTTTTTCACTATTCTAATCATGACAATGTCATTTAAATATTATTAACATTTAATTTCCTTTTTTTTTTTTTTTTTTTTAATATTTTTTATGTCGAACATATGTTACTCGAATTTTTTTTTTTTTTTTTAAAATAATCGCATGAAATCTTTAAAATTTATGTTTATTTCTAAAAAAAAAAAAAGATTAATTTTATTAAATTTGTAAATAATTCATTTTAATTATGAGTGTGAGTAATGTAAGTTGCTGTTTTTTTAAAAAACAAATTCGGTTAAAACAAGATTATAATTTTAACATTGCTGCGAGTTTTTTTTAAAAAAATCTTTTATTCGATTGTTTTAAAATTTTTAAAAGACTTTATTTCCTCTGTATTATTTAACTTTGTAAAAAATTTAGTTTTTAGAAGTTTAGTTTAATTATCATTTTCATTGTTTTCTGATATATATATATATACATACAGCTGTATTTTTTGTAAGATCATTTTAAAATTTTTTTTTGAAAAATTCTTTAGTTTTTTCGTTATGTTTGTAATGGAAATGAAAATAAATTTTTAGATAACAATGTATATATTAAAAGCTGTTAGTTTTTGTAATAATACAGATAGCTAGACCTTAAAAGTGTAACCACAGGCTCAAGGTTAAAATATTAATCTGTTACACAAACTGCCTAATTCAATAATAATAATAATAATAATAATAATCAGCTACTTGACATTGCATAATTGTTTAGAGATTTAGTTTATTTTTTTTTTTTTTTTTTGTAATTAAAATTAAAAATTTTTTTTTTTAAATAAGTAATGATTAGAATAATTATAATAGAAAGTATATTGTCTATTATTGAAGACCTAATTGAAAGTGTGTTTTCTTATTTTTATTTTTTTTTTTAGGGTTATTGAAGCAGATGCTAAGTCTCTGTCGAACTTAACATCTTTGACCCATTCTAGGAAAAATTCAGATATATCTCATACTTCTCTTAGTTCTGGTGAGGAATAAATACTTTGAATGATTTTAATTCGACTGTGTGTGTGTGCGTAACGATGTGATAATATATTTGTAGGAAATGATTCTCAACAAGACAAATCGGAGGATTCGGAAGAAAATATTTGGAATATTTGGGGTCAGGTAGTCAACGATTGGCCGAATTATTATAAAAAACAAAATGCGTATTTAAGAGAATTAGTTAGAAAAGGCATACCTCATCATTTTAGAGGTATTGCCTGGCAACTTTTATGCGGTGCCAATGATTCGTCTGTTAAAAATCAATATGCCGAATACATAAAAGCCACATCTGCTTGTGAAAAACTCATTAGAAGAGATATAGCGAGAACATATCCGGAACATGAATTTTTCAAAGAAAAAGATGGACCCGGACAAGAAAGTTTATTCAACGTTATGAAAGCTTATTCGCTTCACGACAGAGAGGTATACGGAAAACATACCGGATCATACATAATCAATAATTGGTTTTTTTTTATAAAAATTTAAATCAATGAATATTTACAGGTTGGTTATTGTCAGGGATCAGGTTTCATTGTTGGTTTGCTTCTCATGCAAATGCCAGAAGAAGAAGCTTTTGCCGTTTTAGTTAAATTAATGCAAGATTATAGAATGAGAGATATGTTTAAACCGAGTATGGCCGAATTGGGGCTGTGTATGTTTCAATTGGAAAATCTTATTCAGGTACTTTTATTTTTTTCAATAATTTTTTGTTTTTTTTTTTTTTCGAGGGATATTTCGGTCATTCAAATTGTTTTTTCCCCAACAGGAATTAATACCTGATATACACGTTCATTTTCAATCTCAAAGTTTTCACACCAGCATGTATGCCAGCTCGTGGTTTTTGACTTTATTCACCACAGCTTTATCTCTTCCAATGGCTTGCAGAATAATGGATGTATTTTTGTTAGAAGGAATGGAAGTCATTTTTAAAGTGGCTTTGTCATTGCTGACTCTAGGCAAAGAAGAACTGCTATCGTTGGACATGGAAGGAATGTTGAAGGTACTTCACCACTTCGAAGGTTATCAAATGCCAAAAAAAGAAATTTTTCACTCAAACGACTGAATCCACACGTTTTATTTTTTCAGTTTTTTCAAAAGCAACTTCCGGCTAAAGCGGAAGCCGATGTCGAAAACGTTATGAACACGGCTTTTTCTTTTAAATTGAATTCGAAAAAAATGAAAAAATTAGAAAAAGAATATCAGATGATAAAACTCAGAGAACAAGAAGAAATGATTGAATTAAAAGTATTGAACGATTTTATTAATTTAAATTTTTTAAAGTGCAACAACAAAAACGACAACATACGCAGAATTTACATTTATTTCATTTTTATTTAGAGGTTGAGATCTGAAAACCGTTTGCTAAAAAAAAGGATCGAGTTGTTGGAAGCGGAATCTAGCGAATTAGCTGACAGGTTGGTCAAAGGTCAAGTTTCCCGTGCCGAAGAAGAAGAAACAACGTTTACGGTCAAAAGAGAATTCGAATTATTAAAACACACGCATTTGGAAGTAGCTCATCAATTGGAAATGGCTCACGATGAAATTCGTAATTTATATTTAACTCTCGAGCAATCTGTAAGTTTTGCAATTTACTGAGTTAATTTAAAAAAAAAAAAAAAAAAAAAAAAAAATTGAACAGTTAAAGAGTTATTTTAAAAATTGTTTTTTTGTTGTTGCAGCATTCTTCTCAACAATCTTCAATGAGTGAAATTTCAATGAAAAAAGAACAATTATCGGAGAAGGATGATTTGATTGCATGCCTTCAAGATGAATTGGTAAAAGTACGTTTGCGAGAAGCTGAAAATAATGCTCTCATCAGGGATTTAAGATCGAGAATACAAGAATTGGAAGAGGATAAGAAAACTTTGAGAGAATCCGTAGTCGATAATTCAGTTGCACACTTGCAAGAAGAATTGATAGCCGTCAAATTGAGAGAAGCAGAAGCAAATTTAGCATTGAAAGATTTAAGGCATCGCGTTAACGAATTGAATTCACAATGGCAACGTCACTTGACGGTACGGAGTGCATACTTCACTTATCGACAAAACAATTTAACCCAATAATTAAATAAATTTTTGTCTTCCCACAGGAACATAGAATGGAAGCCAATTCGGCACCGGATTCGACACCCAAAAAAATACTATTCTGGGACAATAGAGCCAACGAAACGCAAAGGCTCGAAGAAGAATTGATGACGTCAAGAATAAGAGAAATGGAAGCGTTGACGGAACTGAGAGAATTACGTCTCAAAGTAATGGAATTAGAAACTCAGGTATTAATAATTTATTAAAAGGATTTTTAAAATATATAACGGGATTACCTTAATCTAAATAATATTTTTTTTTAAAATGATAGGTTCAAGTAAGCACAAATCAACTTCGAAGACAAGACGAAGAGAATAAAAAATTAAAAGAGGAATTGGAAGGAAGTACGAGTCAGGAAAAGGAAGCGCGAATTAAACTCAAAGAACAGCAAAATAAATACATTGATTTAGAATCTAAAGTAAATATTATTATTATTATTATTATTATTTTGTCAAAAACGTGTAGTTTGAAATGCTGTAACGGTTTTTGAAATTTTAGATGAAAGACGATCAAATG